TAATAGCTTAAAGTCAACTGCTCATCACCTTTTACAAAATATTGGTTTTTCCAATTCATGGACGTTGACGCTTGAGGAGATCAAGTTTATCGTAAAACGTGCAATGCTTAATATTGGTTAGTGTACATTTGTTTTGTGCAATTGGAGCTCTTTAAGAACAAAAAAACTTGTTACTTTAAGAACCTCCTCCTTTTTTGCTGTCGGTTACAAACTCTGAAATAGCTACAGAATTGTCTATAGTATTTAAGGAGTTTTTTGAATTTCTTAATGATCCTGGCTTGACCACAATAGAACCAAGCAGAAAGTATACCCTTTAAAAAAAAACGAAATCTGTCCAGTCGTCTTTCAGTAATATCAGGTAACACATACTTAAACAAGATTCTAAACAAGTTTGTGAACATATTTTTTTAAGGCGCCTAATATAAACATTTTAAAGAGTAATAAAATTTTGAAGCAATAATATGTAAGGAATGTATTGAAAACACAATTAATAATATCTTTAATCCCGGGCTGATAATTCATCTACATTATCATGCGGTGATTTCAGAGTTTTATGTTGTATACGTAAATATATTCCTCCTATGATGACATCTGCTTTTCATTTATTATTTTAACATTTTGGACAAAACGCATGGGATAAGTTTAATTGTGTAAATCCCAGTAATGGCATACCCATATTTTTTGCTCGATCGGTTTCTCAAAAGCGTTTCTTTTATTTTACAGCTAGTATAGTCAAAACCGGTTAATTTGTAAGTGCTATAACAAGATTTTAACACTTTAAGGTTTTCAACATTTCGAAACCTCATTTGCCGACAGAAATGTAAGATAGATTTTTTTTAATTTGCAACGATGAAATAGGATTTTTCATCGATATCTTTTACCGATTGGGAGACGGGTTCATTGCACAAATAATTTCATCTTGCGAAAATAGCTGATTAAAGTGTTAAGCCTTCTACACCATGTTGTTTCATTTTGTAATACTTTGCTCTATCGCATGTCTGTCGGGCGATAAAATATTTGGTGTTTTACAATCCATTGGGCAATGCTTCTAGATATTGTTGATTAATGTAAATACATGACTGACTTATTGTTGGTTAAACCTATCTATGCAATAAGAGGAATTATTACCGATAGCATTAATGCCTAATCCAAGTACATCTTATATAAATATCCAATTTGTTACCTTTTTTCTTTTTTTTTGTTTTCAAAAGACAACTCCCGCACTAGGAATAAATCCTGTGTCGCGGGGGACTTTACAAACACACATGAAACGGACACAAAGAACACCCAGACTCAGAACAACAATTTGTGAATCACACAAAGTGTCGTCCCATGTGGGGATCGGACCCACAACACTCAGCGTAGTGGCGACCGCTTAAACCACTACGCCATCCGTGCAGTCAAGTCAGTTACCTATAACATAGTTGACGTCTATGTGAGATAAGACTTATCTCTACAAGCACTACCAATTGATCTAATATTTGAACAAATAGAATTTATATATAGAATAAGATTTAAAATGTACTGCCGACGTGTTACGTGACGTACGTTGACGTTTAATACAAATTTGGTTTGAACCCACAAAGTTTTCAAAGTTTTCAAAGTTTCTCCTACCATTTCCTACTAAATAATTAAAAGTTTAATTTCAACTTGTGTTTTACTCGTTATCATCATTATAATCTTTTCAGACAAATATATTGACATTAAAATTGAATAAAACTTTCCAATAAGGTTTTCTATTTTCTTCCTTCCTTCCTTCTTGTATTTTGTCGTTCATCAGCCATGATATTTTTTTTTTTTTTTTTTTATTCTATCACATACAACGCCATCTAGTCCCAAACTAAGCAGAGCTTGTACTATGGGTACTAGACAACTGATATAAATACATATATACTTTTTTTTTGTAAATACATACATATTATACATAGAAACACACAGACCAAATCAAACATCAAATGTTCATGCACACAAATGTTTGACTTGAGCGGGAATCGAACCCGCGACCTTTGGAATAGCAGTCCGTTACACAAACCACTACGCCATCCGGTCGTCAATATCCTTCAGATAATTTCAAAACTATTTAATTTTAGGATGTAACTGAAATGTGGAATGATCCTTTTACTAAAAAATATCTTCATACAACATACTGATTAAGGCGGTAGTAGTCGATTTTATATAGAATTGAACCCATTCGGTTCAATGAAGTTATGTCCGACAGGAATGCATGCTTTTTAGAGTGGGAGACATATTTGGTAAGTCCCAAGCAACGGTACTAAACTTATGACTGTTTATGTTATTAAAATTATTCATTAAAACTTCATATTACTACTAAATAAACACAACATCACTTTGCCCACTACCTCAAGCGAGCTAAACTAACAGGGATATCCGAAATGTAACATAAAATCATTTACCGACTTTGTTTCAGGCTATTACGCAATTGTGTAATAGTCTGTACTGTCGTGTTAGGCATAAACTAAGAGACAAAGCAAATATTACATCCCACAATTTTTTACATAAAACTGTAGTATTGTTTTTAAACTTTACAGAATCTGTCGTTTTTGTATTTTGATTAGATATCTATTACCTGCACAATATTACTTTTCATTTTGCTACCTTTTTTTCTATAACTAATTAAAACACAGCTCTTGGAAAAATTACCCTATATGCTAGAAAAACAACGTGGATATTCTAATAGGAACGTAGTTTAAGTTTGGATTGATTACCTATATTTCATTAACAGTAGTTTTCTATTTTTGGAACGAAGTTCCTTACCGCGCGTTGTGAAAGGAGACGGAAAAAAATCTCACGAAAAGTTATAACGACACTTTTTATGTCAGTCATTCAGCGCCATCTAATGAATAGATAGGAAATCATTACTTTTCATCTCAGTATTTATTTTGAATTGTCACTTGTCAGTCATTCAGCGCCATCTATCGAATAGATAGATTTTACCAATGTATAAATTGTTTTAATTAGAAACCAACTGAAACATATGTAGGTAATATTTCATAGATGGCGTTGTAATTAAAATCGTGTCGAATCAGTTTTACTCGATCGTCACAACGTCGTTCCTATCGGGTGTCCCACGACACCACACGGCTTTTTTTTATTAAATTACAGTTTCTGAATGTATTTTACGTGTGTTTAAGAACATAAATATAATATACAACATATCCGAGTGATGACGGATTAAGGATACGGAATGTTACCACCCCTATTCATGCCTTGGGTGTCGTAAGAGCCGACTAATGGAGCAAACTAAGCAGGACAACAGCACTGCAAAGAGAAGGAAAACTTGAAACAAACCCTATATCAACCCGTCTGGCCAACGTGGTATAGTAGGCCAAAACCTCCTTTCTAAGGAGAGGCCTATGTCCAGCAGTGGACTGTTATAGGCTGTTTATGATGAAGAACATAAAATTCCTTCTCAATCCGAGCGCAAGAGCGATATAGCAAGACAGTTCTCCTTTCGCTATGAGGCCTGTGGGTTGAATAGTGAACCAGACGAAATGTATGATATGGACGCAAAGGATCTCTAAAGTCGCTTGTCGGAGAAAACCTTTATCATGTAACTTGCGTTAATAAGTTAGATGTTAGAAATGAAAATAAATAAACGTTAAAAACAAGGCATCAGTGGGCCTAAATAGGAAGACATTGTAATAAGCTGTTATTTTCATTCCTTAATTATATACGACGGAATATGTTGTTAACATTACCAATTTGAAGACCAATTTTGAGTGTTACATTTATTGAATTGATTTTACTATATTTTTTGGTGTACCATGATAAATGAATTTTTATAAATAAATAAAACTTAATAAATGTAAAAATATTATTTCTTCAAGTGATTTTAAGTATTAATTTCTTTATTTTAAATATTTAGGTCGATTTGTATTTTATCTAACTACCTAACTATCTAAAATGTTGCTTTTCTCAATTCAGAAACATTAATTGTTGAGGAGGACTTGGCAACCACAATTAAATAAATTAATGGCAACCTGTGATGTTATTATTAACTTCTGTGGACATGAGCAAATGCAGGAAAATTAGAACTAGTAGTTCTAATTTTCCTAGTAATATATAATAATAGTTAGATCATTACCTCCTGAAACAATGACAAGGGGACTAACCAAACAGTATAATGGCCCTTGAATTAAAAAATATGTTTTGAAATATGGCCTTACTTTTAAAACACCTTAAATTGCAGGTAGACATTCGTTTCTCACTCAAGAAGAAACGTTTAGCTAAGCGCATGTACTCTGAAGCTATACACGCCAAATTTCTTGCACAGAGAAAGAAGGAAACTAAGGTACGACACCAAGAAGAGTTAAAACGCAGGCGTAGGGCTCTGCGACTCCGAAAACTCCAATCAGAATGCGTCACAAAAGTGATATACTTTACAAAATAATGTTGTACCTAACGAATACTTAAGTAATTCAGGAAACCAAAGCATTTCAATGATTGTCGATCATAATCTACTGAAAAATAATGCGTTCAATTGTAAGCAGTATGTTACGGTTCACAATCTTTCGACAGTTTACAATCTCGCGAGATAGATTATAATCTAAAGGTATTTACAATTTTACGAGGACATATACAAGTAGCCTTCGTTCAGAAATGGACGGCTATAGGGTGATAATAATATTTCTTTTTTCCGCCACAAAGTATTTAAAAGATACATAGAGATTAAATGTAACAGTGTCTACATTATATTTAGTAGATGTTGGGGTGGACTGATAGTGATGTTAATCACAAGTAGTTTGTCGCTTCGTTGGCCTAAATTTTGTAAAATCTATGCAAGTAAGATAAAAAAAAACCTGTATGTGCTAAATTAAACTGCTGACCACAGCTTTGAGATCCGACTTAACCCACTGAAATGATTAACAATACGGCAAAGACATGTGGTAACATGCGCCTCCGTCATATTTTATTCACAGCCCTCACGCCTATAAGGTTTTAAAACAAATTATCACTCAAGATATTAAAAACGCACTAACCTGAAGACTAGGATGTACGGCAAGCTGTAGTAGTGTTCTCACAACTCCTAGGTGGCCTTTATTGACGGCGATGTGGAGGGGAGTTTGTCTCCGACGGTTGCGTGCGCTGAGATCGGCTCCGGCGGCGGCCAAGGCTCGCAGCGCGCCCGGCTCGTCGCCGAAAGCTGCGTGATGTGCCGCGCGATCACCGTCGCGATCTTCTGCGTCTACGTCTGCACCGGCTTCTACGAGAGCACGGATCACTTCTACGTGGCCGTTTTGAGCAGCCGCCTATCATCACAAATAATTACATAAATTAGTTACTCATATAGAAAAGAATGGATACTTTATTGCAATTAATGAAAACTTACAATATACTGAAATGACAGATTTTTTGTCGTTATGGAAATTCCCTTGGGTACCACCCACCGGTAGTTGTGTCGGACATGACCCGATCAAAAACCGCACGCCGTCTCGGGTACCAATACCCGGGAACCAGGTGTCCCTAAGAAGGAAATCCCTGGAACCCCGGCAGAAGTTGGAAACTTACTCCTTAATCTTCAACACTACAGTTTTTGTTTTACATTCGTAGAAGAGATATTTTTCATGTTATAGGGGGGGGGGGGGGGGCAAAGGAGTAGACTAATCACATGTTGATAAGTGAGTACCACCGTCTATAGACACTTGGACACGCCGAATTTAATTACTGTTAACAATGCGATCTAAGGCACCACTGGATACATATGAAAACATATTTTAAACCATATTAATGTAATTATTTAGTGAGTTTTGTGTATTATTTGAATTAAGAAGAATGGCGGTACCTGTAAAGCAGTGTGCCCTCCATAGAAGCCGTTAACATCAACATGCTGAGCATCAGTCCGCCCCAGAATCTCAGCACATCGAGTGGCGTCTCCGTTAGCGGCTGCCTTCACCAATTCCTCATTCGCATCGCCCGTTACGTGAGATTCAAACAACTTTTTTAAAAGCGCCGACAGACGTTCGCCTGTAAAAATATCAATCTCATCAATTACGAACAATATTATAATGATTGGTCAGTTTACAAGATTTTATTCCAAAAAGTGGTGTTACGTCCTTTATCTAACTGGTTCCAATCCCTATCAAAAGCTACGTTTTAAAAATGGATGCGATTTAAATAATATCGGGATCTGATGTCAATCGGGGTCTATGAGATCACCCAATACATCGAAATCTTGATCATAGCAAAATCTATATACAGACTTTCAAGGACGCTAAAAAGACCAGAAATTCAAAAAGAAAAAGGCAAACTAATAACGATATAATACTTAAAAAGAAATTAACCCACTTGCTTGTATTAAAATGTTAATAACACTATTATATTACGAGGGCGGGTCAATAAGTCCGTGACTTTTTGAATTTCTGACCTCTTTACTGAAAAAGCAACACTACTCCTGTCAACAGGCATCTGTCAGTTGACTCCTGTCAAAATTTGAATTTGCTGCGTCAGTTAGTTTGTGTTTGACAGCTATCTTTATCAGACTACCCAGTAATTTGAGGAAAAAATGGAAAAAAGTGAATTTCGTGTGCTTATTAAGCATTATTTTTTGCGAAAAAAAACCATTACCGAGACCAAGGCTAAGCTTGATAAATACTATGGGGACTCTGCACCATCGATTTCAATGGTAAAAAAGTGGTTTACTGAATTTCGTTGTGGCCGTACAAGCACTGAAGATGCCGAACGTCCTGGACGCCCAGTTGAGGTCTCTTCACCCGAAACAATCGAAAAAATTCACGATATGGTGTTGGCCGACCGAAGATTGAAAGTGCAAGAGATTGTGGAAGCCGTAGGGATCTCGCATGGCTCAGTGGTTTCAATTTTGAATGATCACTTGGGCATGAGAAAGCTTTCCGCAAGATGGGTGCCGCGATTGCTCACAGTCGACCACAAACGCAATCGTGTAACAACTTCACAGGAAGGTTTGGCATTGTTTAATCGCAATATTTGTTTATATTATAATATATTAAAGTTTATTAAATAATAATAGTAATATTAAAGTTTTTAACCGTTTTGTAACCGTGGACGAAACATGGATCCATCACAACACACCAGAGACCAAACAACAGTCAAAACAGTGGGCTTCTAAGGGTGAATCGGCGCCAAAGAAGGCCAAGGTGGGTTTGTCAGCCAATAAAGTTATGGCGACTGTCTTTTGGGATGCACGCGGGATAATCCACATTGACTACCTTCAAAAGGGAAGAACAATCAATGGGGAATATTATGCCAACTTATTGAACCGATTCAATGACGATTTGAAAAAAAACCGACCTCATTTGGCCAAGAAAAAAGTTCTTTTGCACCAAGACAATGCAAGGGTGCACACATGTGCAGTTGCCATGGCAAAAATCCATGAATTGGGCTATGAATTGCTCCCTCATCCGCCCTATTCTCCAGATTTGGCTCCGAGTGACTACTTCTTGTTCCCAAACCTGAAGAAATGGCATGGTGGAAAAAGATTTGACTCCAATGATGAAGTCATCTCGCAAACAAAGGCCTATTTTGAGGACCTCGACAAATCATATTTTTTGGAAGGGATAAAAAAATTGGAGAAGCGTTGGACAAAGTGTATAGAGCTCAAGGGAGACTACGTTGAAAAAAAAAAAGATTTATTTATCAAAAAATCTGTGTTTTATTCCAAAAGTCACGGACTTATTGACCCGCCCTCGTATATTTACATAACCACTATTATGGAGATTCTTGATAACGCTTTTTTTTATGTTAGAAGGGGCAGACCAGCAGACGGGTCACCTGATGGAAAGTGACTATCGCCGCCCATGAACGTCTGCAACTCAGGAGTCACAAACGCGTTGCCGGCCTTTTAGGAAGGAGTACGCTCTTTTCTTGAAGGTTTGAAGGTTGTATCGGTCCGGAAATACCGCAGACGATAACCCGTTCCACAGATTGGTTATGCGGGGCAAAAAGTGTCTCGTAAAGCGCACAGTAGTGAAGCGCCAACTATCCAGGTAATGAGGATGAAAATTTTGCCGTGTGGAACGATGGCGGAAATTTGCGGCTGGTATTAGTCCGAACAATTCCTCGGAGCACTCTCAATGATATATACAATAGAGAATGCAGAGTGAAGCCACATCCCTACGTAACGCCAAGGGATCAAGCCGATCGGAGATGTTTGGGGTATCGACGACTCGAGTCGCTCTTTGTTGGATGCGGTCCGGAGGGAGAAGCTGGTACTGAGGTGCCCCTGCATAGAGATGAGAACAGTATTCCATATGCGGCCTTACTTGCGCCTTATAGAGCTGAAGGCGGTGGGCCGCAGTGAAATACTGCCTCGCTCTGTTCAGTACACCGAGCTTCTTCGAGGTCAATTTGACCTTACCCTCTAAGTGACCCCGAAACTGGACTTCTGGCGGTGCTCTCAAACTGAGGTGATACGACAAATGGTATCTTTTTTGCGGTGAACGCACATACCTGTGTCTTTTTTGGGTTAAACTGGACAATGTTATTTATACTCGTATCTTTATTTAATGGTTGAGGCTTTCTGGCAACAGCCTTTTTGAGCAACAGCTCGAACTATTGCTCAAACTCCTCAAGCGACATCCGTTGCCGTCCACAGGCTTCACTTAACTATTATTTGCCATTCCACTCCTAATTTTCCCACCTTTAATTCCCAAAGAATTTCTAAATTTCAGTTGACGGCAACAGATCTTATTAGTGCTCCTAATAGATACGATACTTGAGTGGGACAAAATTACGCTAAGGGAAAATATGGTTCTATACATGTTCTATATATGTAAATAAATATATAAATATATAAATAATAAATAATAAACTCATCCTCCCCTAAAAACTCCTAGAAAGTCACCACTAAACAAGTTTCTTACCTGACGAATTTCCAGGTATACTGCCATCAGACGATGCAACTTTAGTAACAGCATTAGGGTTATAAGTCCAAGACGTATTGCACACTTCTACCTTGAGGTCGTTGTCTTGGTATATTTGCTGCACACGACCGATCTTGCCGAGTGTCTGTAATTGAAATAAAACAATCAGTTGTCATTTTCTCAATTATTTTTTTTACTTTTGTTATAGTATCTTCGATTCGTAAACTTTTACTATAAAGGGGAGGGGTACACGACTTTTATAATTATGATTGTGGCAAGCGCAGCAGGTGTCTGGCCTGCACGCCACGTCATGTCTTTCTCAGATTCTATTAAAAGAGAAAAATTTGCTCTTTAGCTCTCTAACTTCGATTTTAAATCTGTTTACTGTTCGCCTGAGTGTAATTCTTTGTCACAATACGAAAGATAGCTAAGAAAACTTCCCTAACACATGTAAATTGAAGGTAGGTAAATTTTAAAAGTTTAAGCACAGATGAAGCGCAAAAGACTACTTTTTTTAAAATGTGTTCTCTTCAATCATACGCAATCAATAGATAAAATCCTTCGGGGCATTATGCTTAACCGGTTGTAACTGAAATCAATGTTATAAATACAAAATACTAACAGGTGCCATAGCTTCAGCCCACTCGCCGTGTCCACGTTGCAAAGCCTTGACTCGTTCCTGATCAGAGCACACTTGCACGAGGTCTCCTACGGCGAACCCTCCGCCGCCAGCGCCACCAGCCGACGCCGAAGCGGTCAAGTTCCCAGTGCATACCTGCATTTATTAAATAATAAAACTTACAATTATAATGAGTGTATGATTTTCATTCCCTTTCATTAAAGTTCTCAGCTTATCGCTAGGTTGTTGTTAATTTTGATCTTGAGTCTATTTATTAGTACAACTCCTGTGTAACAGTTTAGACGGTCAGAGAGACCAGTTTAGAGTTTCGGTCTGTTTACATATATTAGCTAGCTATCCCGGCAAACGTTGTTTTGCCATATACATTATTGTTGTGTGTATATTTCAATGCTAAATCATAATAAAATAAAGTTTGTCAAAAAACTAAGAAAAATATTTAAGGTCCCCCCCTAATCATTTAGGGGTATGAAAAATAGATGTCAGAAACAGCAGAAGAATCCGAATGATCGATAGATGTTATTTTTTCCTATATAAAATTACCCAAAGCATTAAGCGCGCGTATTAAGTATTACGCTTTGTTTATTATTAGTTCAACTAATGTTCCAAGTGAGCGCTAATCTTAAAAGCATTTGGTATAAAGAATTAGAATGTTAAACGAATTAGAATGTTAACGATAGTTATTTGCGTTATCTACAGATATTTAATTATTACGGGTCTGGGTGCTTCTATAATAAAGCATATATCTATAAATCAAAAGTATATAAGTATGTTTATCCCTTGTCTAGTAACCATAGTACAAGGTCAGCTTAGTTTGGTATTAGATGTCGCAGTGTCAAGCATCATTATCAGAGCGTAGTGTTTTATACCCAAATGTGAATGATATATAAATACGTCATTGGACAGGGTGAGGACTGCTGAAATTCAGGACTCTTAATATTTTTTTCTCACTGTCCACTATGTATTGTTTTATTTTTCCCCATTTTCCACACAACAAAATACTAACAGTTTTAATAAGTAACAAAAATTGAACGAATTAAAACAAACTTAACAACATACGAATGAAAGCTGAGAGAAAAAAAATCAAACACGTGCTAGCGGTAGCAACCTTCGCGGAAAGCAAGGTGCGGGCGGGGAGGCCGCATTCCACGCGTGGGTCTAAAACGCTTGGTCGAGTAGTAATCCACGAGTTGAGAGTATGTTTTAAAATTAAAAATATTTATTTAATTACATAGACTTATAGATATAATCAAGAAAGGATAATTATTTTCGCTTAAGAAAAGATAATTATTTTCGCTTGAGAAAAATAAGATTTTTTATCTATAAGTCATATGATTGGCAACACCAATGAGAAAATGTATCGTATTATACAACTTCGACTGCTGATTAACTTGGCTTTAGTTGGCGCGTATAGAAAAAAATTGGGTAAAATAAATGATTTGATTTTGTTCGAGTGTGTTTTGTTCCCAGTAAATTTTGTTCTTCAAACAATGACGTCATATATGACCGTAATGCTCCGTTTTTTGTCATATTTTTTATTTAAATAAGAAATATGCTTTTATTTTATTTAGGGGTAAAATAGTGAATATTTTCTTTGCGGGTAAAATTTTGAAACACATGAAGCGTTTAAAACTAGTTTTGAAAAGTTGCCAACTTGGGATTGCTTTCTTTCCTACCTTAGTTAAGACAGCTGGGTTGAACGTCCATCTATTTCCACTAGGGTATGTGACTACAATGTCATGATCCTCATCAATACCAACTACAGTGCCGGTGGTGCCGAGACACTCGAACATGCCGTCGGTCCAGCCACCATGCCCATGCTGTAGTGATTGTACTATTTCAAGGTCCAGATCTACATTGACCTGAAATGACAATTAAATTTATTTTAATATTTTTCATGACGTTCTTGATATAATTTAATAAGGGATGCTTTTAAGTCATTTTTATTTTCATTTAAGCAGGCATTTTATATTATCTCAGAGTGACGAGTACATATAAAAATAGAGGTATATTACGATTTTTAGGCGTCCCATACACCTACAATAATATTGAACAATATTTTTCAGTTCACTGTTTGGAGTGGTCTCGATCGATCGATCAATCACGATGTAGCATGTGGGTCTTGTATTAAAATCGAGCAAAAGCAATTGATAACTTGAAATCTCTTCCCTCATAACTGTGTTCTTTTTGTCTATCAAAGGGTTTACTAATTGTAACAATTTCTTTTTGCAATATTCTTCAGTAATTTTTAAAATCGTTTTCTTCAGTTAAGGCTAAGTCATTTAGTGACAGTCTTTTTTTTCAACCATTTTTTGTTTTTTTATTAGTTTACTCAACAAAGTCAGAAAACGATCGTCATCAGACATGTTGTTCGCAGGAAAATATATTCAATTTTATTAAATGAATATTATTGAACATTTGGAGTCAAAGGGGTATTCAATAATATTGCACAGTAAAAATATTGTGCAATGTTATTGTAGGCTTAGCTTCCTGTTTAGTTTAAGTAATAATAAAATACATACCTGATCACCAACTTGCAAACCATGGGGCCCCGTACGACCAGGACCTAACTCGCCCAAGAGCGGCAAATGCTCCTTGTACACATTTTGACCTTTTACATCATTGACTACCTGAAACATTTGATATGACATTTCTACATATATAATAGTGTCAAGTCCCTCATATAACAATAAACCTAATTTGAATCGAACAGAAATTTGCTATAAATCAAGTGCAATGATTCATAGATCAATCTATGTTTATAAAAACGTTAAGTTTGATTGTGTACGCTTCAAAACCTCAAAAAGTTCTGCTTCAATTTGTCTCCAATTTTGACAGACCTATTTCTTGGCGTTCCATGGATTCACCGTGCGGGTGCCGAGCCCATCGTGTGATAGATAGGGGCAACACATGCGACTTCGACAGCGCCTGGGTATTGCGACCCAGGTATAGGTTTAGGGTGTACTCCTTGCGACGCGTCAGCGCTTGACCTCCGCTGTCTGCTGTGTTACCCCCTCTACTTACACACTACTACACTACTTATATACAATCACACATATTTGGGTTGCATTGATGAGATACGAGGAACAAAACTGACGCAAATAATAGGCAAAAACAATCTTTGAAGCGGTTTGTATATCGTGTTTCGAGTTCAGCTCAAGTGATACTGAAATTTTGAATTTTTGAAGCATACACAAACCAACTTAACATTTTGTAAACAGGGTTACTGGTTAAGAGGACCTAGATACTAGGACCTAGATAGGGTTGTAGTTACCATCATTGCTGATAGATCCCACTATAAAATATCCCAAACCTAACCATTTGCAACCTCCTAAAGTATCTAGGTCGACTGAACCAGTTACCCTGTATATAATAATTATGAATTGAAGGCATAGTGCTATTTTATTTTATTTTGCTATTTTTTTTTTTCAAAATATGTTATATAAATATCAGAAATGAAATAAAATACACACCTTTAGGTCTGCCATACCCTCAAACCCAACTCTGTAGAGGTTCTTAGCTCCATTATCCCATATAACATATGCTGCTGATCGAGGGCTGGCTGCTGACCAATCTTGTACCTCATTGACTTTACCCCTTCTACCATTTCCACCATCTTGGTCCTCCCATTGCCAGTCAACCTTACAAAAAATATTTACTCAATACATAAGAAAGAAAGATTTATTTTATTTTATTGATGCATTGCAACACCAATTAAAATATTAATTATTTTACAGAATTAGAATATAATGTAGTAGTGTAACATTAAACACAGTAATCATTAATATATTATATAAGAACCATTGCATTAAGCAAATAAAAATAAGGTGGATTCATTCAAAATTAAAGGTAAAATATTAATACCAAGAATCTAAGAATGTATAAGAATTGTCTTGAAAAATATTATAATTGATTGATCCAGTGCAAATACCACATCTAGATATAATGGTACTTTTACAAATTTTCAAGTCATTTTAAGACAACAGCTACACATAATAAAAAGCAAATAGTTGCAAAATTATATTAATGCAAAAAACTTCAGTTTGTCTGTAAAACTGTTTCTTAACTTTGCAAACCAATGAAATTAAAATATTTTTAAAGGCATATATATTTCAAAGACACAAAAAATACAGTGTAAACTTAAAAATATTGTATCTTGAATAGTGTGTTCAGTTTAAGCTGGTCTAGATTTATCTCAGGTTCAGCTAGACTGGTAATTAAACTAATTTATTGAAATATACTTGTAAGCTTTAAGATATAAATAAATGCATACCCCTCTCACAACTCTGGCTCCAGGAAATATACCTCTAACAGCCTGTTTTTTACTTTTACGCCGTGGCTCAACAAGACACCGTTGGGCACCAGGTGCACTTATGCGGTAAAATCTGTGCCTTAAATTATGTTTATCACCATGATAGCAAACAGAGCATAAGTCATAATTATTACATTCAGCACACTTCCAGCGTATGCCTGAAAATAAAAAATATTTACAGTATTAATCTATGTTGGTGGGTAGGCTCCCCACATGGTGGTCCGACTAAGTAGTGTAGGTGGTGGAAAACCATTGTGGACGTCTTTCGTCTGAGAAGAAGAATCTATGTGACTGATTCTAGGTTGATAGTTGCTTTGACGTCCACTTTAGAAAATTATCTAAATTTATAATTATATCAAAGTTTTGTTATTAGAGAGTGTTTTAGTCTAGCTGAATTTATGAATCCCCACATTAATGTGGGAGTAGGAGTACTATTAGCAGATCTTGGGTTTTATTATTTTAATCCAGTACCCCTTTGGACACTTGCAGTGTGATATCACAGCCTAATATTTCTGTATTTTTAATGCATGCATGCAAATTTAAGGCTGTATTATAATAAAACAAAAACTGATCATAATTTTTTGACATAACATGCATGTTGTGTAAATATAATATGAGGTGTGTTACCAAATATAGGTTGTTGTCTGCATGTGTCACACATAGTGCCTTCGTGCTTAACGCCTGTAGGTGCACTATCGAGAATACGTAGGTCATAAGCCCCTGAACATCTATAATTTGCTGCAGTTCCATTGTCCCAAACGACAACCACTTCTTCTGGAGATTCAAAATTTCTGACAGTCCCTACATGACCTTCTCCTCCATCCTAGGTAACAAAAATCATTAATAATTAACAGTATTAAGTATATAGACATCTCTTGCCACTGCGGTAGGTATACTCAGAAGTTGTAAACAATATGACTGTCAGTCTAAACATATCTTTATATGGCAAAATATAAATATTTAACCACTTTTTTATACATTACCTAGTACTTAGTGGGTATCAGGCAAAATATTTCTTGTCACATAGTTCTATAAACAAAGTGTATAAAACAAAAACACAGTTTTAACAAAAATAAACAGTGAGTTACCTGTTTGCCCCATTTCCAATCTGGACCTCTAATCACTCGTGCCCCAACTCCTTCCATCATAAATCGAGTAGCTCTAGAAGTTGACGCTGAACCAGGAATATTAGGTTCCATTGAAACAATTTTATATAGTTGTATAAGATGATAAAAAGTTATTTATTCACTCCACCTAGCTCGACAAATGTCAAAACTTTTTATTTGACATTAGAACTGTTGATATCATTTCAAAAAAAAATAACTATCGATATAATTTAAAAAAAAATCGATTTCGATTAAAATTGTATTTTTGAAGACTCATCAATATCTCGACAAAAAAAATATAGAAATTGACGATGAATATTTCTTATGATTCTTTTCTTTTTTTTATTAATTATTCAAATTACAAGATTATCTTAAACTTGATCTGCTGTACTTTCATCATCAGGTTATCACCGTCCACTGCGAAACGAAGGCTTCTCCCAAAGAGCGAACCATTCCAGTCCATAGTGATGCAGGGAGCCCTACACTACGTTTGCCTAATTTACTATACTTTAATTACACTATATTTTGTTTATTTTCTTTTTGTAGGTAAGCAGTAGGTTGTAGAAAAACAAGGCGCTATTAGACTGTGGTCACTATTCTACTGGTACTAATTATACACGAAGCTATGAGTTTATCACTGGCGAAAGTGAAAAAAGGAATAACTACAAACAAAAAAACTAATATCGAGTATGTAAAGGAAGGCTCAACTCAAAAGACTTCATAAAAGCCATAGGTAGTCAATCATAAATACTGATAGTGACTGGACATTATTAGTGGACACGTATAAAAATCATCATAGAATTAAGCGTGTAGTACTAGTAGAACTCACGGTAGCCTTTGAAACGAATATCTTTAAAAAGAAACAACTACTTTGACTTAACCAACGAGATTACTAAAAATTGTTAAAATCGTTGTTTAGTATGCCAAAACCTCCTTTCTAAGGAGAGGCCTAAGTCCAGCAGTGGACTATTAAAGGCTGTTGATGATGATGATGTATGCCGTGGAAGTGGGTGCGAGGAGTATACCTGCTAAATCCCTCTATAACCTGCTTAAAGACTTTGGATTGCTAAGAGCTTCAGTACCTAAGCCCTTTTCTTGAACGAAAATCCAAAGTGACTCATATCAGATATGGATAGGTAGAGGGGGTATCGTAGCAGAAAGTGAAAGTGAAGGAGTACTCTCTAAACAAAGTCCTGGGTTGCAATTCTCAAGCGTTGTAGAAGTCACATATATTGCAGCCGTCTATCAGGCGATGCACCCGGAACCTGCATTGTGAATCCATGGAATGCTAAAAAATAGGTCCCTCTAGATTTACTATCTTTTAAAAAATCTTGTTGTTGTTTACCTTTTAAAGCCTTAAGGCAGATACACCAAATGTTTATTTACATTTCTAGTATTTATAGAATTATATACATTATAAAGGTTCAGATTAAGATTAAAGTTTAAGATAAGTAAACTAAAGTTACGTTTAGAAATTAATGTAGGTAAGCTTAGTAAGTTTAGTGGATAATGCTTTTAAAAGATTCCTATCTTTTTAAATAAAAGAGTTAAAATTAAAATAATATATGATATCCAAAAGATATTCCAATGGTGTCTTACTCAGGCTTTCTAATTAATTACTTAAATAGTATAAAATAAATACTTTGCGCCATCCTGCTGTCAACTCGCTCAACTGACAGATGCTACATTGATCTGAAATATTTTCAGACAGACAGGTACTTCTGTGAAGTCTGCTGTGATTATTTATATTTCAGCTGTTGACATTGAATACTTTATTAAACTAATATTTTAGGAGTGCCTAATATTTGGATATAAGTTCTTAAATTCTTTAAGTACACTTAGTAAAATAAAATCATGTCTATCAATCGTAATAAATATGAAAAAGCTCGGAGACGTCTTGCTGCCGTAACATTTTTGTCAAATATATCTCTCGACGGTAAGATTAAAGAAAAGGGATTAGTTAATAATGAAGAAAAATCATCAAAAAATGAAATAAAAACAGACTTTGAAAGCAAACCGATTGATATTCACAAGGATAAAGACGTTACCATAAGGAATAGCGTTCGCTATAAACATAAAGTGCCTCAATTAAGCCCAATACATCGATCAGGTACGGATAATCATTCCGTAAGTTCAGAATCAGAACACACGATGGCTATAACTCCTGCTAAAGGAGTTACGAATACATCTTTCAGAGAAAGGTAACATATTATTTTGAAGTATCTTTTTAAAATATTTTAAAATAAATTGAATTAGTCATTTCAAAAACGTCTTGTCATATTTTTTCCCCAACATGTTTTTTTTTTGCTGAAAATCATTTCTTAAAGGTAGATGTGTATTCTGGATGTAAGCCATGTATATCAATACATTCCTTCCTCTTCAAATAATACTGTGTAGAAGATGTTCATTGCACAAACAACATTACTTAGTGATTAAAGAGGTTTTTGCATACATGTATAATTAATTTTAGTTATATAAATAAAAAAAAACAAGCACAAAAAACACAAATTAAAGTAAGTGAAATGTTAATAAGTCAATTTTTAAATGTAATTGTCAATGATAAGCAAAGTGATTACTATGATTGTTCTGCTCAAATTATATACCACTAACCTACTAACACTAACTATTTCTTGCTAAAACAACATAATTCAAGAACAGTTTTAGATGTTTGTCAGTATTATTATTAATAAACAGTGCTTTCACAGTAGCAAGAAATAGGGTTAGTGGTATATAATTTTAACAGAACAATCGTAGATATTTTTTGTTGCCTATTATTGACAATTACATTTAAAAATTCATAATATTAACATTTCACCTCTATTTTTTTTGTATTGCAGTGGTAAAAAATGAAATATAGAATAACCTTTTATTGGATTTTTCATTTTTAACAATGCAAAAGTAAATTAAGCATAAAAAAGTCCTTTTAAACTCATTTTGTATGAAACAGTTTTTATTGAATCCTGAAAAACTCTGATTGTGTGACTTATGAGGGGTTTTGAAATGACAGTTTCAATTATTTATGCTAATTCTCGAATGCCATATCTTCAATCTCTTTATTTCTATACTTACAGGTGTTCTTCTGGAAATACAGAGTCATTTAAAGACAAACATGTCTCTAGAAATAGAAAAAGTCATGTTACTCTCACTGGAGCTAATGCTGATGATAAGAGTAGTACAGAGAGCCTCAATATTGGTACAAGATTTTGATGTTTTATACTTTATACTATTTTTTATATCTTATTTAAGTAATTGGCTTTTTAATTACACAATAACTTTTTCATTTGTAGCTAGATTTAGGTCAAGTAATACATGCATTCCTGAAAATGCATTAACAAAGGAAGTACGTCTGGTTAGACCCAATAAGGGAGTCTCCTTTAAAGATGAAAGACTTGCTTTGGTTCCGGGACAGGGTGCTCCTTGTCTTATATTTAGTACTATACCATATTCAAAGACCATACGCAGTGCCCGGTAGGTTTTTATAGTCTTTGCATAATGTAATTAACATCCACAACAACAGTAGACATTACATTGTAAATATGTGTTTTATTGGTACAGATCTGATCTAAGAAAAGATGGTGTAAGAAGGAGAAATACTTCAGGTCCAAGACCACTGTCATCTATAACAGACAATGGAGTTGATCCATTCGATCTTTTAGGTTTAGAAAAGGAAGAAAATGGTCAAGAGATATCATATTCAAAATTATTGGTTCCTGCAAAAGTTTGTGCCAGGGAACATTATAAAAAAATGTATGAAGGTGATTTTACGGAAAAAGGTAACTGGAAAGTTATTAATCGCCATCCACATGTAATAGCAAGGTGAGATTCAATATTTATATTATATTTATTCTAATATATTTTTTATTGAAATATGTTTGTGATGTGTAGAATAATATATCAATACAGTATTATACCTTAAATATCAACTGTAACTTGTAATTTATCATTTAATTAAAAAAAAATAGGATTCCAAAATATCTTGCTACTTAATGCAGTTTCACATTAATAATTGAGAGAACAAAAATTCATGCTATGCATGTCATTGAATAATTTCTTTCTTCTACCTAATTCTCATATCTTCCTGTGTGTTTTATCCCTTACGCTATGGTTCTGCTGTGTAATTGGTAATAATTATCTGTCATGAGTTTATTCATCTTTATCTCACTTGATGAAAAATCTAAAGGAACCGTTCTGGAGGTGTATGTAATTATTATTGTTAGATATAATGTAATAACAGAGATCATCTCATCACTAAACTAGCACACTACTTAATTTTAATTTGTTAAAAAAAAGTTTTATTTTATTTTATTTTATTTTATTTTATTGAATCTCCAACAAGAAATACACCTTACATGCTAGTTATAAAGCCAATAAAATTTTAAGTCTTGTGCTTCCTCAATTATAGGAGACCACAACATGGACATTACAAAGAAAGATTAAAGACAGTGGCCACAAATGGCCTTTGTAAATAAGAAAAAAAAAACAATCAAAGAATCATAACAATCAATTGTGCAAAAAATTGTAGATTATAAATTGCAAATTAGCAGCAGTCAAAATTCAAAATTTAAATGGTAAGGAGGTACGTCAACAATCACACAGTGTTCAATATATGAGTGCGAACATTTTTTTTAAATTTACCCAGACTATTAGAAAAGATGTCTATGTCCTCCGAAGCAACTGAAATGGTGTCATATTCGCGAGTCATCCTAGCAATTGGTGCTTGCTTCCCTAAATTCGTCCGGGCTCGTGGGACCTTAAATAGCGGGCGAGGGTAGCGTGGGATTCTAGTTGGAACACCTATACCGATCTTACTGAGGAGGTCTGGACAGTCAATGTAGTTATGGAACAGTTTGTATAAGAATACTAGATCAAAGATAGTACGACGGTCCCTAAGAGATATAAGGTTGAAGTGCGTTAGTTTATCCTCATAAGTCCTTAAGTTCCTAACCCCAAAACGGTAAGCTAGATGTCGGACTAGTCTCTTTTGGATTTGTTCTATTTTATTTATGTGAACTTGGTACATTGGGTTCCATACCGTGCTGCAATATTCCAAATGACTTCGTACATAGCTATTGTATAAAATGATCATGGTAGATGGCTTTTTAAATTCTTTCGAAGAACGTAGTACAAAACCCAAGGCTCGATATGCTGAGTTAGTTATCGTATCATAATGATGTATAAAGTTAAGTTGACTGTCCAAATGTATTCCTAAGTCTCTGATAGTGGTTACTTCTTTTAATTTGTCTCCTCGAATGTTGTACTCAGAAGGGATTTTGTTGCGTTTTCTGGTGAATTTAATGTGGTAACATTTGGCACAGTTTAAATTCATTTTGTTACTGAGACACCATTGATTTAAATTATCAAGGTCAGCCTGAAGTAAACTTACATCTGATTCTTTCAAAATTATACGGGTCAATTTTAAGTCATCTGCGAAAAGATACGGTGTTGAATGTATGAACACTTGCGATATATCATTGATGAATATATTAAAAAATAGGGGTCCCAAATTGGAACCCTGTGGTATACCGGATGTAGCAAAATATGGCTCAGACTGGCTGCCATCAACGGCAACTGAGGATGGCCTGTTGTTGAGATAGGAACTACACCAGCGTAGAGTTGATTTAGTAACACCGAGAGCACGAAGTTTGAATAATAAAATTTTATGATTAACCCTATCAAAGGCCCTCGAAAAGTCGGCATATATTGTGTCAACCTGAAAACCTTGATCAACTGCAGACGCCAATTCTGTAATGTAAGTAACTAGGTTGGTGTTTGTAGACTTATTTACCATGAAACCGTGCTGATTATGGGATAGATATTTCTTCACGTGATCATACAATACAGGATATATAAAACATTCGAAAGCCTTGGACAGGGTACATAGAATGGAGATAGGCCGATAATTAGACACCATATCCCGTTTACCATTTTTGTGAACGGGTACTATTCTAGCCTGTTTCCAAACGTCAGGAAAAACGCCTGTTTTGAGGGAAGTGTTAAAAATTATTGCTATGGGACAAGATATCGGACGGGCGCACCGTGACCAAAATGTAGGAGGTATGTCGTCGGGCCCTGCGCCTTTAGAGAGGTCCAGTCCAGAGAGTTTCTTATACACTGCATCTGGAGTAATAGAAATATCGTTGATGTCTGTTACCGAAGCCGAGCAGGTACAATGATTACTGAAATCGTGATCAGAACTGGCAGGATCAAAGACCGAAGAGAATTGTTTAGCGAATAAATTTGAAATAGAGGTACTGTCACATGCAGTTGAGTTGCCCAACACCATTTTAGAGGGGTAGGAATTATTGCTCTTCCGGAGATTTTTTATATGTGTCCAGAAAAACTTCGGATGTTCTTTTATTTTAATTTCTATTCTTTCTATATAATCATTGTAACATTGTTGGGTATGGGTATGACATTCTTTTCTTATGTAATTAAATTCCAAAATATCTAATGGATTTTTATATTTCCTTATTCTCTTACGTAATTTTAATTTCTGGTTGAGCATTTTTTTAAGTTGATTAGAATACCAGGCTGGATATTTCCCACGGAAGTATACTGTTTCGGGTACATGTTTTTTTATAATATTTCTAAGTATCGTGTAAAACCTATCCACCATCACATTGACACCCAGATAAGATGAAAACTCATTAGACCAATTAATTTTGCTAAGTTCTAAGTTTATTGTTTCATAGTCAGCCTTATAATAGTTAAGTTTTGTCACCTTTTTTGTATCATTTTTAATATAAATCGGAACTTTTGGCGAAAATACTAAGGCTGGGTGATATTTATCTGTTTTACGGATAGGATCGATACAATCTGTAACTTTTATTTCCTCAAAATCTGAGAATATTAAATCAAGCATTTTATTATTACAATTTTTTATACTGTTGAATTGTTTTAAATTATTTAGGGAACTAAAATTTAATAATTTATTTTTTAAGTTACTACTGTTACTTGTAGAAGCCATATACGAGCCATCGTTGCTGTCACGGATCCAATCTATACAACTCAAATTAAAGTCACCAATTATCAGTGTGTAACTATCACAATTTGAATCTATAACTGAATTGCAATTTTCTATAAAATTTTCTAAAATCTCTGCATTTACTGGTGGAGGAAGATAGGTACCACAAACTTTCAGCGACTTCAAAGTCGAATTCGAAGGAGTTTCAATGCTGACCCACAAGTCTTCGCAGTCACTCTCCCATTCTGACATGCGACATGACCTAAATTTATTGGACACAGCTATGAGCACGCCACCACCAGTTTTTTTTTGGGTGCTAAAACTAGAGGTCTCGCGGTCTCTTCTGTATACACTAAAATTATTACAAAAAATTTCAGCATCGAAAATACCACTACAAAGCCAAGTCTCAGTCAAGACATAGACATCGTATTCACTATTATGTATATGTTGACGCACCTCAGACAAACTGCTGCGCAGACCTCTTGTGTTTTGGTAATAACATTTAAAAAAAGTGAATTTCAAAGACAAATCAAGAGAACATGCTTATAACAAAAATAGAAAGTTTAATGTAATGAGTCCAGCCTCTCGTGGTTACTTATTAGGATACTATGAGAAGTTTCATCTTTTTTCAAGAAGATTCTTCCGTTACGAACCCACACGAATCTGTATCCCAGCTGCTTAGCGCGAGTACGAGCTGCTGCGTGTAGTGCTTTGTTTTCCGGTGACAGATGCTCAACAACAAATATCGGTGCAGGTATGTCGCTGGATATGCCGAGATGACTGGAGTTCAGTTTATCTTTGGAGTTGGTTTTATTAAACTGTTTAGAGGCTGCGAGGAACGTGTCTCTTAAACGAGGGCTGCTAAATTTAATGAGAACGGAGCGCGGACGTGGGCTCTGTGCATCCTTCTTGGCTATGCGTGTACAGAGCTGTATGTCAGTGTCCTTAACGTCGCAGTTTAGTACTTTGCCAAGCTGAAGAACGGTGTTAACTAAGTTCTCAGATCGGTGTTCGGGTATGCACTGTAACTCAATGTTGCTTGATCTGGCGTGCTGCTCCATTTTGTTGATACGGTTAGTAAGGTCGTTAAGGGATTTTTGCAAACTAAAATTATCTTTCTCAAGTTTGAAAAATTTAACGGATTTATCCTCAAGTTGACTCTTTATTTCATCGTATTTTTCGCCAAAAAAGGCTAGTGAGAGCTTGAAATCTGATACTAAATCGTTGATTTTTTTGTACTGCTTATCAACCAAATCCCTTATTGTATTCTGTATAGCGTGGCCAATTTCTTCTCTTATCAATTCTCTTAGACTGCTGTTAGAAATGTTAGTCAATAGTGTGTTATTCTCATCGGTATTAGAGGACCGCAGTTGAGGCGGTTTAGGGCGAAGAGTTACATTAGCCTTATCGCCAGAAGGGGACTGATTACAAGCGTTAGGACTATGTTGTTTGCTGGATCGAACAGGCGTATCGCTGTTGTCTAGTTTCGGTTGTTTGCTAACACAGCCTGGGCATTTCCACGCTCCTTTTGCATCAGCGTTCATTAATTTAAACTTTTTATCAGGTATATTTGCACATAATAAATCATACCATTGATTACAAAGAAAGCATCGCAATCCTTTCCCCCTAAGAGCACCCATACAACCACCACAATTTACTATTGACATTGTTTCTGCTTCCAAAAGTAATTCGAATCAAAAAAGCAGAAACTATAAAATTAAAGCGCTTCAAGATAATGTATAAAGCAGTGCACGTTTAGTGATGCAAAATTAAATAAAGCGATTGTTCGCGGGAACTGTAGGTAGTTGTTACTTCAGACAGTTACCTCCGAGAAACGGTCGAAACAGTTGTT